GTCTATTGACATCTCATTAAAAAAAAAAAAAAAAAGTGGCAGAAGTCATCTCTATAAATGTCGACCTTGAGCTGTTTTGTTTTTTTTATTTTACTGCTGATTTTGATCATGGCTTGGGAGGAAGTTTGTCTGTCTGCTGTACTAAAACATCCCAGCTCTGTAAATACTGGGTTGAGGGAATTCTGAGAGAATTCAAAGGGTGCAGTCTTGGTGATGTAGCTAGAGCCTCATCTGAGTTGAAAAAAAAAAAAATCTGGTCTCCACAATTAACTCCAGGGTCGATGTCAGAAATGGAAAAGCCTGACAATCGGGGTCTGTAGCAGGTTTCATATTTTAAGTCTTATCCTCAACTCTGTAATATTTTTCCAAGAGAGAGAAACACTTTTGAAGGACTTCTGGAAAAGCACAGGTTTTAGCAGAGGTATAAAAGGACACACCAACAAAACAAATATTATGCAGAGGGTGTGGCCACCTTGATGGAGAATAGCACTTGGCTATGACACAGGACTTTCAAATCCTTGGAGACAGGAGTCACAGGCTGGGTAGTCCTTCTGCTTAGAGGAGACAAACCAAGTCCCTCAAAGACTGGGTTTGCACGTCCCACTGTCACATCACTGTGACCTAAGGCCAAAGCACGGCAAGATGGAGGAGGAAACTGAATCTGAAAGTCGGCTTTTTTTCCACTGGATTTTTTATTTTGCAAAATGAGAATTTCACTCCTTAACCACTCCCCATACATCCAAACCAACCAACCAACCACCAACAACAAAATCCACACCAAATTCCTATATAACCATAGTAGATCTGGTTATCGGTAAAATAAATAGACCACAGCATGTATCTCAAACAAAAACTAAAAGGGGGAAATAGTCAAGTCTGTTTTCTCGAATGCTATAGGATATTTGATCATGTCTAAGTATTAGGTTTCTAGTTGAAAAGAAATGTCTTAGTTAAATGTATGTATGTATTTGAAATGAGACTATCAATTAGAAGAAGTATGAAAATATCCTTAAGTATGTTATATACTTACAGAATATACACATATTAAAACATCAATAAGCACCCATAATAATAATGTCACCAACTGAGTGTGATCACAAATTTTTTTCCCTTACACAGGCAACACAGATTCTTAAAAGACACGTGGAGAAGCGCTAAAGGTTTTTTCTCTTCCATTATTTCCCCTAGTGAAGCTAACTTACATAAAGCTTAGCAGTTACATGACCTAAACAAATTGTCTTGTTGATCTCCTCCTAGCAAGCAATTAAACCTGAAAAACTTTTTATTAAAGGTAAAGCTAAATTTATTAAAGTCATTTATCCCAAACTACTACTTGGCTGATAATTGAATTAGTACGTACACTGCAATTTTTCTTTACTTTACCCAAATGTGTTTTTTATTAAAGTGAAAATAAAACCTACCAATTTTTAAAAAGCATGTTATCTTTAATCCACTGCATCAACCTAGTTCTTATTTAAATCACTGTGGAAGAAAAACTAGTCCCACTTCTGTTCTTCAATTAAATGAACATAATTCTAAATATGCTGCAACTAAAGGAAGAGAACTCCAACTCGGGCTTCTGAAAGTACAGCAGTTGCAAGGAAATGAAACGATAAGGGTCCAGTTATTTCCCAACCTCACTTTGGCACACATAAAAATCAAACCCTAGGGACTGCGGATGTGGCTCAATGGTAGAGTGTTTGCCTGCAGGGTGGGAAACCCTGGTTCCATTCCCAGCTCTAGGTGCCCCCCTCCCCCCCCAAAAAAAATTTAAACCCTGGGAACTGTAATATCCATGTCTGTCTGTGAAACAGCTATAAATTCCACTGTTTTTTTAAATATCTTTTAAAATGATTTAAAAGTTTTACCAAGAACATGGTAAAGATACTCATATTGTTTTTGTTTTTAATTCTATTGATAAGTCCTAGAAAAGCTAGGTACTAAAGTTGTTTTATTTGTCCTTAAATATTTTGCTTGTAAGACCTTGAAAACTGGTAAGAAAGAAATTCATTAAAACTGAGTATTTATATTACCAAATAGGGTGTTATGTGACCAAAGATAATCTTTAATACTTTTTACTCTGAAAGTAATTCATATAATCATGGTGGGCATAGGTTAATGGCAGAGTATGTACCCCACATGCAAAAGCGCTAGGATTTGATACCCAGCACTACAAAAGAAAATATTTCATTAACCTCTACTTAGTTCATAAAACTTTATTAAGTTAAATTAATAAAACTATATAAAATTTAAGACAACAGGCAAGGCCTATAGAGGTAGATTTCAGACTGAAATTCTTTGGGATGTTTTTTTCCTTTCCAATTTTCTTTTCGATTTCCCTTTTATTGGATGTTACCAATAAGTCCCTGTTATAACACTTGCAAGACATACATTTCTCGGTAGGTTAAAATTAATGAAGCTTATTCAAATAGCGGAATTTAAAGTCTATGTATAAACTAGCTTTTGCTTATGTCTCAACAGTGAAATTTCCCAAGCCTAAGCTATTTAATCGACTACCTTTGTAAAAAGCCACATACTACAAATAGCTTCTAACTGGATAAAACTGTGTGTATATATGGGACTATATAAATATAAGATTTACTTATAGGAAATCTGCACATTTTAGCAATATATTTTTTAGCTACACAGAGTTGAACTTCTGCAACTGATGAGTTCTCAGATAGTCCATTTTGTCTGCAAACTTTGGATTCCTCCTTACTGCTAATCAGAAATCTGAAAAAACACACCAGAAGCATTTTAGGGAATCAGATGAACACAGGCACAAAGAAATTTCTTGCTATGGAAAAAGAGCAGCAGCATCCAGGCACCGTGTCATCTTTTATATCTTCATAGCCCCACTTGTCCTGTTTTGTATACTCATTGTGATAAGTAGATTCTTCTGGCTATTGCATGTCACTTGAGGCTAAAAAAGCAAAAACCCTGGCCAATCGCATTTTAAAACATCTTGAATACTGCAAAGGAGCTGGAAGAGACATTTGTCCAGTGTTGTGTGTGTGTGTGTGTGTGTGTGTGTATACTTTTTTTGCCATTAAAAAAAAAAGCAAATTAAATTTGATGAGCAAAGAGTCATTTGGCTTCATTCATTTACAGGAGATGAAGAATTCTTGATAAAATCTGGGTTGTACCCTACCCAGTAGATTGGGACAAACATAATACATCATACACGGTTATGGAGTGAAACAAGGGTCCAGCGAATGCAATAGAACCCCCTGTGTTCCCTCTATGGCCCAATTCCACACTTAACCAGCAGCAATGGAGTCAGTTCTCAAATCAGCTCCAGAAAGTGACCAGAAGCCCCATCACCATAATCACTGCTCTGTCATGACAATTGATTTCAGGGAATTGCATATGAAAGTTTAAAGTGCAATTTCTTCACTTATCATTTAAGGGGAAACTTCCAAAGGAGAAAAAAAAAAAAAAAAAGAAGACGACGACGACTTGGCTTTCCGAACGCATGGCTACTCCTCTGCTCCGTCGTTCTTAAACATAATTTATGTAAAGCAGGCTTTTCTCTAAATATACCATGCTTTCCCATATACACATTGAAAATGATATTTGCATACAGCGAGTGTATGCGCTGATACACACATGGTAAAAACTTAAAAAATATGGACTGCATAAATCAGTAGCTGATTTTAAATATACACCAACTTAAACAGATTTGTTTGCAATTTTCTGAATTCTTCAGGTAGAAAAGATCTCTCTTGCTGGCTGTGGTTCTAGAAGATGTTTATACTCTATAAGAGTGTACAAGAATGCTTCCCACATAAACAAAGAAAAGAAGGTTCCAGGATCTTGGTATTCTAACCTTGCCTTTGCTATTAAACATCCGCCCGACGAATGTGATGGAGACCAGCGAAATCAGTCTGTCATGCTACAGTAAACATGATATTCCGTGAGCTGCCCAAGACATTTTTTCTCATGAATATAAGTCGCCTGCCATTTATTATGAGATTTTTCCCCGATTGACACCCCATTATGTATATTCAGTCAAGCTCAAAGGAGATTTCAAGTGATCAATATACTATTTGTGCTGAAAGTCTATTAGCAGCTCTAGCAATAAGCTCTGCAGAGAAACAAAAATGGAAGTGATATTTAGTGAACTGAATTCCATAGAAATCCATGTTTTGGGCAAGTGGCTAAAGACAGGAGGCAGGAAATCAAGGGACAAGCAATTTTATATGCTTTTCTATATAAAATTCAGCTTTCTAGAGCCTGTCCAGTGATGAAATGCATAAAATGCCTGAGAATTTTTTCAAAAATATCTTAAATTACACATTGAGATTTGCGAAGAAGGGAGAGGTCTAACTCAGCACTAGTCCCTTTCCGAGAACAAGCAGTTCCTTGTTTAAAGAGTCAGATTTGGAAGTACTCAATATCTGTAAAATGGAGAAGGCGGATCCAGCCCCAGAAAATTCACTATCCAACATGTTTCTGTAACATAGCAAGGGCCTCCTGCAGATTTTAACACTTTCCACTTTATACCTTCCGTGCACCAGATCCCAACGCGTGACCTTCATCAGCTGGGTCATGGCACCTTGGTTAATATGTGGTAGGACAGTAACCAGAGGATTTCATCTGACCCCAAATGTCTACATATTTGAAACTATCAGCTTGAGCCAGGAGAATATTAGAACAGGCAGGACCACCCAGAAAGATGTGACACTTGGGGGAAGGAAGCATCAATTCAGCATTACCCAGACACCAAAGGTTCATATTGTTTGACTCTGAAAAATAATGTGGTGGGGAGAGGCAGAGAAGGACACCCATCATTGGCTGTGGTGACACACATATAGTCACAATGTCGTATACTGAAGAAATGTTCGTCTAGGTTCCGCATCGCCCCAGGAGAAGATATCACCTCCTTCTAGGCTCTTATGAAGCTAGAGTCTTGGGCCGAAGGACAGAAAATGGGAAGAACTGTTATGCATAGTTCTCCAGAGTTATCGATATTTAATTATTTAGCGGGCTGAACTTACATTTTGAACCACTCTCAGGCTGAAGAGCAGAGTCATTACCCACTGTATCAGAGGAATACCTGTAAGACCAAAATATTTAGATCATTAGTAGTCTGGGCAGTTTGCAAAATTCCAAGAGTAGCGAAGATGATTGGCAGTGATTTGAGATACATCCTAAGCTATGCTCGAACAAAAGCTATTTCTCGTAATATTTTGAGTCCTAAAACTGAGAGCTAGATTGCTTTTAAACTAGCAACCTGAAATATGACATAGGAAAAGAATACGCTTCCTTAGAAGAATAACCGTATTCATTCATTTCTTCTCCTGGATGGTCCTAAATACTAAGACACTCAAGTACAACAGAATCAAGAGGCCAACATCCACTCGGAAATAGACAAATAAAATCCCTCCCGACTACTCCAAGTCTTGTCAAAATGAAGAATTGAATAATCCTAACTAGCTATTCTAGTTTGTGTAGGATGCACATGTATGTGGCAAAATGTGCTCACCAAAGCACATTCTTGAATTTTGCAGAGAGATGTATATGCAAGTATTTAATGTCACGTAAATTTAAAGGAGCAGCAATTTTCAAGTTGTTTTTTTCCAAAGGCTACTTATTCCCTACTGCCTCAATCTAACACATGACACCCAAAATTTTAAAATCTATTAATTTTTAAAAATGTATTTATTTTTAAATACTTAAAACCAATGATACTACCAACCTGACAACCCCCTAAATTAAGTGGATTAGCAAACCACATTTTCTTCAGAAAAAAAAAGGGTAGATTCTTGGAGGGCGACCCTAAAAGCAGCCAAACAGATGTCTCTCCCCTTCCTAGAAGGTTCTCCAGTGTCCTAAAAAAGCTCAGTATACATGAACACCATCTCTAATGGTAAGGCATGAAATCCATTCGTGGGCTCCGGCAGCCCAGGTATTTATTCACCCCGCACATTCACTTCACCGGGAGGTGGGTGTTCTGGAATGTTCCTCATACAATGCTGTGTGCATATTTACTGTCGGAACTCAAGGAGGTACTGTTCTGGAACCTTCTCACACTGCAATTAACTGTGCAAGCAGGCAGAGCCAACTTCCCCAAGATAATCACCATGTATCTTAGGAAAAGACCCTCTTTGAAACCAGGCTGGTAGGGTGCTGGCATCTGAGCAAAGGACCAGATTCAATTGATTTTTTTTTTTTTCCAGTTTGATTCATGAAGCCCTGATGAAATCTATTTTGATTTTTGGAATGACCCGCATTCATAGGCAATTTACCTGATTACACGTGTGTTCTTGGTGACTCTCAAAGCCTTCTACGTGTTAGGATTTGCAGGTGTCATTTGAGAATTTAAATGAGTGGGAAAATAGCATAAGAAAAAAAAAGCAGAAGGTAGTTTACGCAGCTTTGAACTTACATTATTGTACAGAACAGAACACGCAATTTTCATGGGAAGTAGACTCAAATAACCGCTGAGATGCTGTCAAATGATCATTACATTCAGATTTGAAAATGCATTCATTCATTCTAGCCATCAGGTGAAAAGTATTATGTTCCTCTCTTTAAATGATTTATTTAACTTTAAAAAAAAGGGGGGGAAATAAACCAAGTGGGCATCTTTCTGAAATTTATTTTTTTATGTTTTCTTTCTTTCTTTTAAAGAAAAAAGTCTTTATATCTCTTTTCCTCTTGGTCAGCCCTGCTGTCTGCAGTAGACTATGCGGGTAAGCACCGCTATAATCAGAATGAATTGTGAATTCATAATGTCTTTTTTTTTTTTTTCCAGAGCAGCTCGAAACATTTTCTTTCTCACAGATTTGAAATCTCCTTGCCTTGTTGCAGAAATGGCCTTCCTCTAATCTGATGTGACATGACTGGGTTCTGTTTGAAGGACCAAGCAGTAAAAGATAGATTCATTCATCTATTTCTTTCTCCAGTTATGCATCTCTGTTCTCACTGAGACGCCAGGTGCTAGTCTATCCCACAAGCTGGTTTATTCCATGCACTGCCTGAAAATGAACCCCCTCTTCCTAAAAGTTACTTTTATTAAAAAAAATTTATTAAGAATAATAAAGCAAAAATTATTATTTTGGGCTTCATGATATGCTTCGATATTTGTTCTTCCAGTCAGGTCTTTTAGCCCCAGGATCTTAAAATTTGGAAGCGGCTCTTGCTTCATATCTTTTTTTTTTCCATCAAAATCAACCTCTCAAAGTTAAATGTACATTTTAACAAGATGACTGGTGAAATGGAATAACACTGTGCTTTCAAGAACTACTTATGGATTAAAGCTTACCCTCCGAAATGTAAGTAATTATTTAAATAAAGGTAACACCCAAGCCTAGACACTGCCCCTCCCTGCACCACTGCAATTGTTGAATTCCTTTCCTGGTCTTTCATGCAGATGCTCAGAAACAGGGTGGGGCCCTGGTCTTGCAAAGCAAGGGGAAGGGAATATGTGCTGTAAAGAAAACTCAATTAATCCTTCATATTCCAGTTTTCCAGTATCCTTCACAAATACCTTTGAAACAATCATGTTGTTAAGAGTGCCACTTTTATTTTTAATATTAGGATTTAGCTTTAAACCTTTGTGTCAAACCAAATGTGCTGTGCACAAGCATGGATGACAGGTATTGAAATGAAGGTGACAAGTCAAGGGACTGGGAAATACCTCCCTGGAGAAGAAAGGTGAGGGGGAGACTAGCTTCTCTATGAATGTCTCTGGTGATGCTTATATTAATTTATTAATTTTTTTTACAAGTACAGTTCAAGTCTACAAGTAAAATCCCACCATGCTAAGCCATGCTAGTTCCCTTATGAGTCAGCAGGCCACTAAGCAGTTCAGTCGGAGCAGAAAGAGTAAATGGGCAAGAGCTGTCTTTGGACACACCCATTTTACTAATCCTGACTGATTTTTTTTTTAATCATCTTTGGTGTCTGACCTCAGAACTTGCATCAAAAACTGCACCCTCCCAGCTCTACCAAGAAAAATTAGGCTGGGGTGTGGACCTACTACCCTTCAGCTCTTTTACTGAGTGCAATTGGATTAGAGCTCATTTATTCCCAAATGGGCAACTCCTGCTTCATTTTCTCTCCAGTCTGCATGTTATCAGCTTGACGTTCCCTTCAGTGGCATATGACAAATCAAATTGGCCATCATTGCACTCCTCAAAGGAGGATGTTTTCTGTTTCCCAGGACTGCTTCCTTCACTCTTACAATCATAGGCACACCAAAAAAAGACCTTTTTTCCCCCTTAATATTTTTGTTTGTTTGGAGTGGGGAGGAAGCTTGGTAAGAAATAATGAATAAATACAACTCATCATAAATCAAGGAAAGCAATGGATAGCCATAAAGTCAAAGGCAGTCTCAAAATACAATTCAAATACCTGTGCCTTAAAGAATTTGTCAAATAAGCAGATATTATTATCTTAGGAAAACTTTACCAAAACACAAAGTAAATTATTTTTTCACATCTTTTTGCATGATTCAGCACTTTGAATACTCATTTCTGCCCCAAAGTTAAAAGATAAAAGAATATTTTCTGGGTGCCTTAAAACCGCACACACTCTTTTACTGAACCATCTGCACTCCTGTTACTACAAGAGCATATCAGAAATACCGAGGGCCACTGGTTTGCTGCCGCAACGTCTAGTGACCACCTCAGAGTCGCTCAATTTCTCTCTCTAGCACATAAGTGGTACTCGGGAACGGAATGACCGGCCACAGAGGCTTCGCCACACACGCAGCCCCACACACACTCAAGCACACCTGTCTAGCCCCTGACAGCTGCAGCCACACATTCCCACCTGATGTCTTTGCAACCTTTGTCAAGTATCTCAAGACAAGAATTTCCCAAAGCCCTACCCCCCACCCCAAATCAAAGCTCTCGCCCAAGCCCGGGACCAGTGGGAGCATCAAAAGAAGGCCGAGGGGGCGAGAGACCTCGGAATCGCTCTGCAAGCTTGACCTAGGCATCTCACAAATCCGCGTCTGCATTCGAGGACCCTGATGTCCCCCGCACCGTCCCCGCAGCATCCCACGCCCGCTGTGTGCACTCACCTGCCAGTAAACAAGTCACACAGCTTGGCGGTCCAGACTTCCACCGCGACCTCGGGTGGGCGAGCTTCTACACTGGATGCTCCCGGGCGGCAGGGATCACCGGCCAGCGCTGAGCAGGGCGGTGGGATGCCGGGAGCCGGCAGGAGGAGCGCGCCCGGGCGGGTCCGCGCCGAGCCCAAGCGAGCGGGCGAGCGGGGCGGGAGGGGCCATTTGTAACCGAGCAGACGCTACCACCGCCCCTTACTCGCGGGGGGCGGGGGCGGGCGGTCAGGTGACGGCGGCCCACCCTCCGCCGCGAGCCGGGTGGTTCCTGCCCGGGAGGAGCCCCCTGGCGCGCTCTGATTGGAACTCCCGCCGCAGTGGCGGGGGAGGGGGACACGTGACCACCCGGCCGGGCAGCCCCGCGCGCCCCACCCGCGATGGGCACCCCATCTTCCTCTTGGAAAAGCCGGGGGACACAGGGAAGGCGGGGGAGCACGCGGGTGCAGGCGAGCCTACCAGCCCCTTTAGCTGCAATGCTGGTGATCCCTGTCGCCGAACCCGGGGAGGAAGGGCTCCCACTGTGAAGCCAGCCTGCCTTCACTGTCCTCCCGCCCTGCCCTTGGCCGCTGCACCCTCCCTTCGGCTGCAGTACCCGCCCCCACACCTCCAGGCACGGACACTCAGTGTAGACCACTGCCACTCCATGGATGCCAGTGCCACTTAAGAGTGTTCTCTTTTCGTCCCCTTTTACTCCCACCGCCTCCTGTGTACACCAGCATATTGTACCTAAGAGAAACTCAAGGTGGTGCTTGGCAGACACCGCCCAGTCCCAAGATTTGGGAGGACCCCTCACCCCGACCACGCCCCGGGATGCCTGGCGGCTCCCAGATCTTAACGCTAAGGGACTCGGGCCTGCTCCCTTGGAAGAAAGAAGCACTGTAGTGTCGGCTGTGTCTCTATCCCCTCCAAGAAGCAGGCCGGATGCAAGGGGAGAGAACCGTCATCTGGGTGCGATTTCAGTTCACAGCCTATGGGAGCATGTTGCTAGTAAAGGTCAAATTAAAACACATAAGCTGGTGGCGCGGCAGGGACGCGCCACATGGTCGTGGGAAGCCCGGCTGTTAATTATCCATAACGAGCATCGCTTTTCTAATGTGGGAGAATGGGGTCGTGCGACAGCCCCCCCATTCCCCCGGAGTTGCGTGCTGTTCTAAGCTCTAGTTCTCCCGCAGAGAGAGTGGATTCCGCAGTCTTGCGTTCCACCTCCCCGTGACCCCCCTCTCCTGGCTGCACCAACCTAGAAGGCAAGAATTAGGAGAAAATGCGGTGTCACGTCCGCCGGTAAACCCGCGGACGCCTGCGCCAACCCCAGCAACATGTGGGGACCGTGAACCGGGAGTCCGCTCTCCGCTTGGATGGTTATATGGGAATGCTTATGTTATTATTTATTATAACCAAATTGGAGGGAGAAGTCTGTCTCTACACTGGTTTCTCTCGAATGTGTGTCCAAGGGAGTTTTGTTCTTGATTTGGGCGGGGACGTGCTTTCCAGCCAAGCCCGGCTGGCACTTTCCTGAGCCCTAGGCACGGATGGGGAGAGCCAGGGAGAAGACGACGGGCACCTGGTCTTTGGGTGTTCTGCCTTCGCTCCCTACTTCGATGCGTTCCTGGTCCCTAGAAGACTTTCCAACCGAAATGTTACTCAGACATTACCGAAGCGGTGTGGGGGGGGGGGGAACTTGGACCCATTTGTTCCTGGGCTTCACCAAGCATAAAACAAGTGTCAAGCAGGTTTACTTGGGAAGGGAGTTTACCTGTAAGACTTCAGGCACAAAGTCTAGGTAAGAGAACCTTGGAGGACGCTGAGAATCTATCCATTGTTAAGTTGGGGACAGTGGTAGGGGGAGAGCTAATCAAAAAAAGAAATGGACCTATTAAATGAATAAGGAGCATCTTATTTTTCAGGTGACACCTCGCTACCCTTGAGTCCTCCCCTCCCCTCGATCCATTTCTTCAAACCACAAAGGTTGAAGAACTATAAGCCCGTGTGGGGCGGGGGTGCTCTATTAAAAAGAACTTTTTAATCAGGAAGGCAGGTAAGTTTTGCATTTCCAGGTGTTCATTTTTATATAACCACCACGTTAAAATGGAAGGTTTGTTATAACAAGAGAATCCCAGAGAACAGGATGCAGAGAATTTTCACAATTAAAAAAATAAACTTCTTCCCCTGCCCTCCCCGACAGCTACTTCCGCATGAGCTGGGGACAGGTGGTGGTGGTGATGGGGGGGTGGTGTGTTATGGGCACTCTGGGTGCGCTGGTGAGTTGGCTGGGCCACTTGCTGCGGCTCTTCCAGAAGAGGTAATTTCTGAGCAAATCTGACGGGAATCTGGATTTAAAATCCATTCTCTAGGATGCGACACCCCAGAAGCCCAGATAGGAGGCTAACACGGTTGGTCTCAGTACCTCAAAGAGGTGTGTTTTTTAACTTGAACTCTGGACCATTTTATTCTTGAAATGCTTTGTCTTGCACGTCTGGGAGTTTTCTGCAGGGTTGAATGCATCTGTCTCCTCCTCTCTCTCCTTTTCTCCCTCTCTCCCGGTCTCACTTACATACACACCCACATGAAGTCCAAAGCGGAGGGAGGTGCCGGGCACCTCGGCTCTGCCCTTGGGAAGCAGTGGGAAGGGGACAGCCTCAGTGTGGCTGCTGACAGTGTAGCAGGTTGCTCAGAAAGGCCCTCCTCCGGCTGCTTTGGGAGTGCCGAGCTGCTAACGGAGGCTCCCGGGCGTCCGGATGGACCCAGAGCAGTGGATGCAGTGAAGGGTAGGTGTCATGGGACAGCAAGACTGGAGAAGGTCAGGCGAGTTCTCCGGATTCCGAGTTCATCTATCTACAGGGTCAAGCTCTGTTGAGAAAATGCAGGACACCCGAGAGGAAGCGAGTGACACTGACCAAGTGTCCATTCAGGGTAGAGGGGGTCTCGAGGCCCTTGGCTCTCGGCTCCTCCGCAGCGGAGGCTGTCACTTGAGCCGCTGCTGAATCTTTGCGTTTAGCGTCCTCCGGTGGCATCGTCCAGGGTTTGAGGAGCAGAAACTGAGAACAGGAGCAACTCACTGTGGGTTTGGAGTGACCACGCCTTCAGGTTGTGAAAACTGCCGCAAGGTGACTTGGGGGCGGGGAGGGTAACAAAATGCGGAATTTATTCTGGTTTTTTAACCTAAAATGAAGTGAGTAGTCCTAAGTGCAAAAAAAAAAAAAAATGGTTCTCTGCTAGGACCTTGGAGCTATGGGGGAGGGGGGAATAGTAGCTTTAGGACAATCCAGGGTATGCCCAATTTACCCATGTCGGGTCGCATTCTCTGGAATTCTACCCCAGGGGAAGCTCCGCTGCCACAGAGGTCATCTTGCATTATGACACCTGGCAGTTGCCCTCCAACCTCCAAGTCCCTACGGTCAAATCCCTCAGCACTGGCTAGAACCAGCAAAAGTCTGGGCCCTTGATCCTTTACCTGGTCCCTTTTCCTCTCTAGACCAGGCTAAAACCAATAGGGACCGCAGTGCGGTTGATGGATACCTCGCTGCCCCCACCAGCTCCTCCTTGCACTACCTCCTCTTTGCACCAAACCAACTGCAGGGCTAGAGGCTGCTACAGTGGGGCCACAGCATTCCAGTACTTTCCGACCCCTCCCCCTTGGCCACACCTCAGCTACTCACCTCTCCCCGCCCCCTTCATTTGTTCCCAGTGAGCTCCCTGCTCCGACCCCTCCAGGGTCTGTGGAAGCCAAGGTCCCGGTGCAGGCATTGGGAGCGCACACGACGGCGATCCACAACCCTACACTTGTACCAGCTCGGGGTCCACCCACTTGGAACCCGCCGGCTCCTGAAGGTCCCAGGCGCCACTCTCTGGGTCTCGGCTGCGGGTGTAGTAACCTAGAAGCCCCAAGGAGCCCCTGTTGGTCAATATCCAGCCCCCACTTTTTCCCAAGCCCGGGTTTAGCCAGCTGGGAAACCCCTTTCGTTCCAAGCCTGTACCCTCAACCATCCCCGGACAAAGCCGTCCTCTTCCCAGTTTCCTCCACCGGAACGCGAAGGAGGCCCTGGCATAGGGGAAAAAAACACGCGTGGAGAGCGCCTCCAGGCGCCGGGCCGCTGTGTGGTCCCGGTCCCTGGCCCTGCCTGCTGGGTTCTGGGCTGTAGTGCGAGCACTGCCTGAGCAGGGCAGTCACCGCATCCGCTGTTCCAGCGCCGGCACCGGCCACAGCGGCGCTGCAAAAAGGAGGCAGGACAGCACCGGCTCCTGTACACCCACGTGCCCCTCGTGTGCACCCCAGGCCTGCAGATGCTACCGGGCTGGCGGGCTGGCGCCGCCGGGATTTCTAGGCGGCTCCACCCTCCCTGGCCGCTACGCCTTGTTCCCTGCATTCGCAGCCTCCTTGGCGTCTCCACCGCAGCATCCAAGACCCGGCGCTCTGCAAGCGGGACTGCCCAATACGCCTGCGGGCCGCTGCCTGGAGGCCTCACTTCCCGATCGGTCAGCACTCACCTTTCCCTGTGAATGGAGGGGTTCAGTCACTGCACCAGGGCTATTCACCCGCCGCCCACAGTCTCCAGGAGGGTGCAGCAGGAGGGTGTTCCCTAGGCGCCAGCACCCTCCTCATATCCTTCTCTGGCTTTCTGCACAGCACCTTCTTCAGCCGGCCACCCTCCCTGACAGTAGGGGATGCATAGCTCTTGCTCCCTCTTTCTTCTGCTTTCTCTCTCACGCTCTCGCACCAACGCCCACCTATACGTTCACCTGAGCGCCAGGGCCAGTAATCTCCCTCTCCAACACCTAATTTCAGCACTGTGCAGCGCACATCATGTCGCTGTCAGCAAGTTGAGGGGGTGGCACTTATGAGCTAGGTGATTTCCCAAAATTTAAGAAATAACCTTCTGCCCCTCGCTTTTGTGTGCTTAACAGGACTACTGTGTTTTTAAAAAGCATCCACACATTTGAAAAATAGTAAAGTATTTAAGATAACCACACAATTGTAGAAGAAACAATACCCAAAGATCCTATGCACCTTTTTACTCAGTTTCCCTTAATGGTAACAGTTATCCAAACTGTGGTACAATATCACAAGCAGGATATTAGCATTAATACAATCCCTCTTAGTTAGATTTCTCCATTGTTATTGTAACCCCCCCCCCGATTGTGTGTATATATAATTAGTTCTGTATAATTTTCATGCATGAAATTTTATGTCTCCACCATCACAGTCAAGACAACAGAACCCAACTCACCACAGGATCCCTCTTGGTGCCATATATAACTACACCTACCTGGCAGAAGAGGCAACCCTGACAACCACTAATCTGTTTTCCTCCCCACCCCCACCCCCCTTCTAATTTTGTCATTTCAAGAATGTTGAATAAGGGCTGGGGCTCAGCGGTAGCCCTTACTTGCCTGGCATGTGTAAGGCACTGGGTTCGATTATCAGCACCACATATAAATAAATGTTTTATCAACAACTTAAAAAATTTTAAAAAAAGAATGTTGGATAAGTGTGATTATATAGTAATGTAGTCTTTGGGATTATATTTTTGACTCAGCATTATTCCCTAGAAATTCACCCAAGTTATTGTATGTAATCAATAGTTCATTCTTTTTTGTGCTGGAAAATAGTCATGATATGGAAGAACCACAAAGATAGTTTGTTCAATCATTCACGTTGCGAAGGACTCCTCCAAGAGTTGCCTCTAGATTTTGGCTCTTCCAAATAAAGCTGCTTCCAGCATTAGCATACAGGTTTTTATGGGAACATAGATTTCTCTGGGATAAATGCCCTTGAGGGCAATTGCCAGGTTATATGCTAAGCACAACTTTAGTTTTATAAGAGACTGCCATACTCTTCCAGAATGCCTGTACCATTTTACAATCTCATCATTGGAAGCATTTAATGGTGTCACTATTTTTTATTTTACTCATTCTGATAGACTTAGTAATATCTCAAGGAAATTTGCATTTCCCTGATGGTTAATGATGTTGAACATCTTTTTTATGTGCTGATTTGCCATCTGTATACCCTTTTCCTTTTATGAAATGTCTGTTCAAGTCTTTTGCCCATATTTTAATTAGGGTTGGGGCTTTTTGTTGTTTTTTGTTTGTTTTTGATTTTTCACTGTTGTGTTTTGAAGAGTTCTTCATATATTCTAGAACAAGTCCTTTGTGAGATTCATGATATGCAAACACTTTATCCCAGTCTCTATTTATCTGCCCATCCTCTTCACAGGGGCTTTTGCATGTGAAGTAAAAGTTTCCAGTTTTGATGGGCTTCATTTTAGCAATCTATCATTTTTATATATCCAGTTTTTGGTATCAAGTCTAAGAACTTTTGACTGTCCCTAAGACCTGAAGATTTTCTCCAATTGTAAAAGTAAGTTCTATAGTTTTATATTTTACATTGAAGTCTGATTCATCTTGAGATCATTTTTCTTCAATGTGTATTTAGATTGAGGTGTATTTTTTTGCCTGTTGTCCAGTTGTCCCAGCATTTGTTGCATTTGTGAAATTTTATGTCTCCACCATCACAGTCAAGACAACAGAACCCAACTCACCACAGGATCTCTCTCGGTGCCATATATAACTACACCTACTTGGCAGAAGAGGCAACCCCTGACAACCACTAATCTGTTTTTCTTTTGTTTTCTTCTAATTTTGTCATTTGTTGAAAGGGCTATTGTTTCTCCTCCATTAAATAGTTTTTGCAGGATTATCTTTTTTTAACTCAATTGACATACTTTTGTGAGTATATTTCTTTATTCTGTATTCTGCTCCATCAATCTATGTGTCTATCCCTTCACCAACACCACACCATTTTCATTATTGTAGCTATATGGTAAGCAATATCAGGTAGAATTAATTTTTCTTCTTTTTAAAAAACTATTCTAGATCTTGTGCCATCCCACATATATTTTAGAAAAGGTGTTTCTATGTCAAAAGAGGAGGAGGAGGAGGAGGGGAGAAAAGAAAAGAAAACTTTCTGGGATTTTTGCTAGAAATTGCATCATTTATAGATCAATTTGGGGAAAAGTGGATATCTTTTCTATGACAAGTTTTTATGAAATGGTATATCTTTTCATTTATTTAGGCCTTCATTGATTTATTTCATCAGCATTTTAGACTTTTCAGCACAAAGATCTTATTTATTGTTTTGTTGGATTTATACCTTAGGATTTTATTTTTTTGTAGCAGTTATAAATGTTATTGTATTTTAAATTTTGGTTTCCATATGATCACTGTTGATGTATAGAAATAAAATTGAAATTTACATGTGTTGATCTTGAATTCTGTGACCATACAGAATTTACTTGTCCCTTTTAGGAATATTCTGTGTAGACAATCATGTTATCTGAAAATGGGGTCAGTTTTATTTCTTCTTTTTCAATCTGTATGCTATCTTTTGCTGTTGTGTTTTTTTTTTCTTGTCTTATTTCAGTGGCTAGGAATTCCAGTACTATATTGTATAGGAATGGTGAAACAGATAACTTTGCATTATTCTTGACCTTAGGGGAAAAATGTCTAGTCTTTTACTTTGTTTTAGATGTGGGATTTTTGAAGATGCTTTTTCTCAAGTTGAGATAATTTTTCTCTATTCCTAACTTGCTTAGATTTTTTTTTTTTTGAGCAGGAAAAAATTATTTGAGTGCTCACAGTTTCAGAGATCTTAGTCTATAGAAGGCTTGGTCCATTCCTCAGGGCTCAAGGTGAGAAAGAACATCATGGTGGAAGAGTGTGGCAGAGGGAAGCAGTTTACATCATGATCAGAAAGCAGGGAGAGAGAGAGATCTCCACTTGCCAGATACAAATATATACCCCATAGCCACATCCCACGTGCCTCACCTCTTCAGGTACCACTCAAGTTAATCCCATCATGGGATCAATACACTGATTAGTTTAAGATTCTCACAACCCCATCATTTTTTTTCTCTGAACTTTGTTACATTGTCTCACACATTTGGTTTTGGTGGAACTTCATATCTAAACCATAACATTCTGCCCCTGGCCCCCAAAAGCTCATATCCATCTGACAATGCAAAATACGTTTAATCCATTCCCAAGAGTCCTTATAGTTTTAACAGTTCCAAGACTGCTCAAAGCTCAAATCCAAAGTCTTCTCTGAGGCTCAAGGCAATCTTGCATTGTGAGCTCCTATTAAATTAAAAGCAATTGACACGAATCCATATATAAATGTACTGAGTAAACATTTCCATTTGCAAAAACAGGGGCATAGAAAAAAGGGGTCAGTTTTATTTCTTATTTATTTTATTCTTATAATATTTATTTACTTATTTTGGGTTCTTGCAAAACAAGACTGACATCCATCTGGGCAAATAGGTCTTGTGGTTCTGTGCCTGGCATGGGGAGCCCATGGCATGATGTCCTCTCCGAAGGGCTTATGTAGCTCCACCCCTGTGGCCTTCTTGGGTGCAGCCCAAGTGGCCTTTCTGTTGGCTTGTCTCTGCTCAATTCCTGCAGCTTTCCTAGGATGATGTCCCATGTTACTGGCATTTCTTAATCTAGGGGGTCTCCACTGCAGCTTTGGCTTCTTCCTCACATCTCCGTACTTTAGCTTCTTGGGGGGCTGCCTGCAGGGACTCTGACACTGCTGCACTTTGTCTCCCAGGCCTTCCTGTGAAATCTTGGTGGGAGCCTCCATGTACCCCTAACTCCAGCATCCTGCATTCCCATAGAGCCAGTACCAGGTTGATGCCCAGGTGTGTTGCCTTCTCCAGCAGTACCCAAGCTTCTGGGCTTCCTGGTTGCAGCCGTCTCTTCTTGCTTAGATTTTTTAACAGTAAACAATTGGCTAGATTTCGTCGAGTGCCTTTTCTACATCAATTGATATGATCTTATGATATGGCAAATTGATATTATTTGTTGATTTTCAAATATTGAACTAAATTTCTGACCTGGAATAAATTCTACTTGGTCACCTTCTTAGATATATGTTTGGGTTCAATTTTGTCAAGGATGTTTGCATCTAAGTTCATGAATGATATTGACATGAGCTTTATTTTTGTTTTAATGTTTGGTTTTGGTACTGAATTTTTTTCAAGTAAATTGGGGAATGTTCCCTTCTCTTAAATTTTTATGGAATATCTTGTACAAAATTCTTCTTTAAATGTTTGGTAGAATTCTCTTGTAAAACCATTTAGCCCTAGAATTTTTTGAAAATAAGTTTTTTTTAAATGATAAATTTTTTTTATATATTTATTTTTTTTTTAGTTATCGGCTGACACAACATCTTTGTTTGTATGTGGTGCTGAGAATCGAACCCGGGCCGCACGCATGGCAGGCGAGCGCGCTACCACTTGAGCCACATCCCCAGCCCTTAAATGATAAATTTAATTTATTTAATGGTTATAGGACTATTCAAATGATCTATTTCATGTTAGTAGAGTTTTGGTCATTCATTTATAATTTTCAGGAAATCAGTTTACTTTTCTAAGTTCGGTATTTCCAATAAGTTGAACATGGAGTTGTCTGTAGTATTCACCTTATTTTCCTTTTAGTGAGTGAAAGATCTGTAGTAACATCCCCAGTTTCATTCCTGATATTGGTGATGTGTGTCTTCTCTCTTAATATTTGTTAATCTTTCTAGGGATTTATTAATTTTTTTATTTCATTAAAGAATCAGCTTTTTGTTTTATCTCTTTTCCTGGATTGTGTTCTTATTTTCAATGTCATTAATTTTTTTCTCTTATCTTTATTTTTCCTTCCTTATATTGCTTCAGGTTTGTTTTGTTAGATTTATTCTTTATGCCATTATGCGATGTTCTTTTTGTGTCTAATAATTTTCTTTGTTCTAAAGACTACTTTATCTGGTGCCAATATTGTTATTCCTACTTTCAAA